TGGCAGTCCCTGGCAATCTTTTAACTGGTTTACAGACAGTTTGAGAAAAAAGTGATAAAAGCTTTGATCACAAACATTTCACAAATTTTGAGAAGATTATGACTTTCATAGAAATCCTTTTAGGTTCTTTATTGCTGTTACATTCTAAGGATCACCCAAGCTCTACAAGGATACGTTAAGAAAACACTATCATAAGGAAAATGGAAAGGGCTAACATACTTCCACATCATGTGAGTTGTTTACATTGGTTAAACATATATTTTGTTGTTACTATCATACTGTGTTAAATCCCAAATTTAGGGAAATTAATCAATGGTTCAAAAGAGTAAAAGTGAAAAATACATTTAACTCAGAATGCCGTAAATGATAACAGTATGATTTTATAGTGAAGACTGATCTTAGAATGAGCTGTGATCAGTAAACTAGGAGTGATAACTCTGTACTAGGAGACATCCTTGTTTCCACTGTACCGTGATATATTATTAAATAGGGACAAGAAGCCACTGAAGTGTTCAGATCATTTTCAACAACTCCAGTAAACCAACCAAAGCCTCCACTATGAATTCTGTCATTAAAATATCAAAATAATAGTCAAAGGTACTTCTTTTAACAAAACAGATTCAACTACTGTCAGCTGCAAAATTAATGACAAATGTGCTCAGACAGAAATAAAACAATCTACTGGCAAAATTCTATCATCAGATGACACTATTGGACATTATGTGCTATGTGTGTTATACAGAGAGGAAGAACAATTATTATTACAGATGTATGCTCTTAAGTATTTTGTTTTATGGCTGCATGAAGCCACTAGTTTACAGAGTACGAATCAACTCTTAGCATATACGAATGTAATATGTTAATGAAGAAATACAAGCAACTTTTAAAAAGTTTTTAGAAGAAGATACTTTCTTTTAACCAACAATTATTTTTGAACCTTGACTTGAAAAGTTGTGCTGGAATCAGCACGGCTAGAGCACTAGCTTTGTGTGTGGCAATGAAGAGCCCACGATCTGAAAGCCAATTCACACATGGCTTCATTTACAGACAATAGCTGGCTTGAGTCATTGTTAATAACTGCATGGAAAATTGTGAATATAATTAAAATTGCAGCCCTTGAACAGGTATCTTCAGCATGTTAAGAATACAGCAGCGGGCTGGGCACATGGTGGCTCACACCTGTAATCCTAGCACTTTGGGAGGCCAAGGTGGGTGGATTGCTTGAGCCCAGGTGTTTGAGACAAGCCTGGACAACATAGCAAGACCCCGCACCTATTTGAAAAAAAAAAAAAAGCGGAGCTAATACTGTTTTTCTGTTTTGTCAAGAGGAAATATGCTAACAATACCTACTCAAATGAAGGATATACCTTTTTTTTTTTTTTTTTTTTTTTTTGAGACAGTCTTGCTCTGTCACCCAGGCTGGAGTGCAATGGTGCAAGCTTGGCTCACAGCAACGTCTGCCTCCCAGGTTCACGTGATTCCCCTGCCTCAGCATCCCAAGTACCTGGGATTACAGGCGCCTGCCACCACGCCTGGCTAATTTTTGTATTTTTAGTAGAGACAAGGTTTCAACTTGTCTCCACTGGTCTCTTGGCTTGTTGGCCAAGCTGGTCTCGAACTCCTGATCTCAGGTGATCTGCCTGCCTTGGCCTCCCAAAGTGTTGGGATTATAGGCGTGAGCCACCATGCCCAGCAGATATTCATTTTTTTGTAACACTGATGTCATTAAAACATATCTATGATTTTAAGTGGCTAACTCAAGTACCATACCTCTATGACAGTATAGTGATCAGCTTGAACATAGCATTTGAGAGTAAAATTATGATTCTCTCTCTCTTTTTTTAAAGATTGGTTTCACTCTGTTGCCCAGGCTAGAAGGTAGTGGCGCAATCATAGCTCAATGCAGCCTCAAACTCCTGGGCTCAAGAGATACTCCCATCTCAGCCTCCCAAGTAGCCAGGACTTACAACAGGTGTGCTCCATCACACTTGGCTAAATTTTTTTTTTTTGTAGAGACAAGGTTTTGTTATGTTGCCCAGGCTGGTCCCGAGCTCGTAACCTCAAGCAATCCACCCATCTCAGCCTCAAAAGTGCTGGGATTACAGATGCGAGCTACCATTACTGGCTACAATTCTTTTTTGTTGTTGAGACAGGGTCTCACTCTGTCTCCCAAGCTGGAGTACAGTGGCGCAGTCACAGCTCACTGTGGCCTCCACTTCACAGGCTCAGGCAATCCTCCCACCTCAGCCTTCTGAGTAGCTGGGACTACAGGTGTTTGCCACCATGCCCAGCTAATTTTTTTTGTTATTTTTGGTAGGGATGGAGTTTCACCCTGTTGCCCAGGCTGGTCTCAACCAAATCTACTCGCCCCAGCTTCCCAAAGTGTTGGGACTACAGGTGTGAGCCACTGTGCCCGGCCGCAATTCCATTTTTTAGACGGAGTCTCGCTCTGTCTCCCAGGCCGGAGCGCAGTGGTGCGATCTCGGCTCACTGCAAGCTCCGCCTCCCCGGTTTACGCCATTCTCCTGCCTCAGCCAACCGAGTAGCTGCGACTACAGGCGCCCACCACCACACCTGGCTAATTTTTTTGTATTTTTAGTAGAGATGGGGTTTCACCGTGTTAGCCAGGATGGTCTCGATCTCCTGACCTAGTGATCTGCCCGCCTCGACGTCCCAAAGTGCTGGGATTACAGGCGTGAGCCACTGCGCCCTGCTCGGCCACAATTCTTAGTAACAAAATATGCAGACTAAATAATGATACAAACAGCTTAACCAAAGAGTTTTACTCTTTTCCTTTTTCTGTGAGATGGAGTATGGGCTCTGTTGCCTAGGCTTGTGTGCAGTGGCACGATCTCGGCTCACTGCAACCTTTGCCTCCTGGGTTCAAGCAACTCTTCTGCCTCAGCCTCCCAAGTAGCTGGGACTACAGGTAGACGTCACCATGTCTAGCTAATTTTTGTATTTTTCGTAGAGACGGGATTTCACCATAGTGGCCAGGCTGGTCTCGAACTCCTGACCTTGTGATCTGGCCACCTCCGCCTCTCAAAGTGCTGGGATTATAGGCATGAGCTACCACGCCCGGCCGAGATTTACTCTTTTCTAACAAGTAGGTAGACTTAAAACCATATGCAATTACTGCACTAAATCTGAAAACATATTTCCTAGAACTGAATTCAACCAAAAGGACACATCTACACATTGCCATCTCCCAAATTAAAATATTCAACTTTCCTGTTGAGTGCCATACACTTGTCAACTTGATGTAGTTTTCAGTGAGAATTACTGTAATAATTTTTGTGTCCATTTGAATATCTAAAACATCTAACAGAAATACCATATACTTGCTGCTTTTCCCAAATCTATAATTCAAAGGTGGGGCTAATTTAATAAAACTAAGAGCAAGAAAAGAAATCAGTTAAATACGAAACCTTAACTTGGACTTTAGTAAGTCTTTCACCATTAATGTGGTGGTACAATAATGTGAACAATCATTGCTTTTCCTGATACTGATTTAAAAATACTGCTTTGGGCCGGGCGTAGTGGCTCAAGCCTGTAATCCCAGCACTTTGGGAGGCCGAGATGGGCGGATCACGAGGTCAGGAGATCGAGACCATCCTGGCTAACACATTGAAACCCCGTCTCTACTAAAAAAAATACAAAAAACTAGCCGGGCGACGTGGCGGGCGCCTGTAGTCCCAGCTACTTGGGAGGCTGAGGCAGGAGAATGGCGTAAGCCCGGGAGGCGGAGCTTGCAGTGAGCTGAGATCTGGCCACTGCACTCCAGCCTGGATGACAGAGCCAGACTCCGTCTCAAAAAAAAAAAAAAAAAAAAAAAAAAAAATACTGCTTTGATCTTACAATAAAAACATTTTGAATTATTCTTTTGTGTTTATCTAAAATCAGTGGTATGCACTGAAGACCCATCACATGGTCCACAAATCCCAAATGTTTGAAAACACTACTTTCTCTACTACACTACTTCCCTTTCATAGGAAGCTATCATTTCTTCCTGTGCGTGTTAGAGAAAAACAGAGAACCAAGGAAATTTTGTTTGCCCTTATTATTAATCTTCTCACATTAGAAAAGCACTTCATTATCTGCATTTATGTTGCCTCATTTTCAAAAACATCGGTCTGATTTCAGTATGAATAGCACTTATAAAAAACAATATACATAATAATTATTTCCAATTTTTCCAGAATTCCTCTGCCCCCAAAGTCCTTCTTTCCTTATGACCTTCCCAGAACCCAAGCTGCCTTCCTATACTTCTTGGTTACAGTCAAGGGTTATAAAAAAAAAAGTTTAACAGCTGGCATGGTATAAACACCAAACCAAGAGATTGACACCAATTTATAACTGTATGGCTGTAATGGAACAGGCTCACTAAACATCAGCCTTAGACTGCTTCTTGTAAGCAGTCTGCTATATTTTTCCATGCTAGGCCTGTTCCCAAAGATCTTTGGTTATTTCTTACCTGCCACTTCACAGAAAAGGGACAGCAGTGTTCATGAAAGAAACCACACAAATTGGATTCCAAAGATGAGTTTAATGTCACATCTTATTAAATCTTTAATTTATCTACTTTTATTCTTTAACAGGAAGAATTAAGAAGTATTAGAAAAAACATACTACTGCTTTCTTTGTCTTACACCAACTGTCTCCAGATAATTAAGCTAAGTCAGCTTTTTTTTTTAAAGTCAGCTTTTTTATTATAGCTTTGTTATTCAATTATATCCACACAGGTATGCAAGTTCTTTCTCCTTTCTATCAAATAGACAGCTAATACACAGGCAAATGGATAAATTTGGGGATATATTAAGGATACTGTAAACTGTTAGCAAAACAAATGTCTCTGACATTCAGAGAGGAAACAAGAGAAAGGGAGTGTAGAAATTCATGCCCCAAAAAACAAAAACAAAGAGGTGGTTCATGTTAAAATAACCTTATAAAGTTATATATAATATCAAATATATCTGTGTTGTTTTTAAAGATATTCTTACCCAACTTTGGAAAAACTATTAGGTATTCAGCATTGCACTGAGGACATGCCACTCTGGCTGTACTGTTTCCTCTTTGCTTTTCATCCACCCAGCGTTGTAGACAGGCCTGGTGAACCCATTTTGTAGATCCTCTGCACCTGCATGGTCTCACCCATTCAGCTGTTCTATCATCTTCATCAGTAGCAAAACAAACCCAGCAGCTTCTGTAAATTAAAAGAGAAAATGATGACATTTATATCTTTATGACTTCAGCCTCCTCTATACTGCAGCTCTTACTTAATGGGATGAGTCTACTACATTACAGAATCTTTGTCCTATATTAAAAGACTAAGGAGACAAAACCACCAATACATTCCTACTAGAGCAGTTTCTACTTTTTCTGTTTTTCCTTGTCTTCCTCTATAGAATCTTATGTTTTCTGAACTTTGTTTTTATGTAATCTCCTCTATCTTTTCAGTAATTCTTCACCTTCTTTAATGAACTTGAGTGCAAGGAGACAAACCTCAAGCTGCTTTTGTTTTATAAGACCTAATAATTCTTTGAGGAATAGTAAGCACAGTAATATATTAAATTCAGTGTTCTCCCCAGTTCAACATCACCAATACCTTGAACTTGGAAAAACAAAGTATTACACGAGTGATTTTACATATAGTCTCATTCCATTTTTCAGCTGAGGAAAAAAACCTCATTTCTCTTTCTGGTAAAGTATAACAGAGAAAACGGTATTATTATGTAATATTGTTTTCTCAAAAAAGCACAAAGGAGATAAATATATCAAGATAATTTTATTTTTTTTAGGATAGCAATATGATAAATTTGGGTGTGTATGTTTGAAATCTGAAATCTAGAAGTATCAAGTCTGGGGTGCTTATATTAATAAAAATAAAATTCTATTGAGATCAGTAATTTTAAAACATTTTCCCACTTTGCTTTTAAGGGTACTTCATGAAGTGTAATTTTTTCTTGTGGAATTAGGTTGCAATTCCTCAGTTTTTCTCCCAATTAACACAAGTTTTGATGTCGATTTCCATCAGGGCAAATACAGTTCAATTCAATGAGACCCTTCTCTCCTCCCCTCCATTAGAATTTATACAAGTGGAAACAACTGCTAATTAAAGCATGTTACCTACTCTGCACTTTTCACTTAATTGGGTAAGTGGCTTCTGTCAGAACAACCAGCTTAACTATTCTCAGTGGGAAAGACTATATAGTTAGGTATTATAGATGGGTGAGGTTCTCCACTCTTTGTGGAACAACACGAATTTCAATTCTGTGCTCCGATTAAAATTTTTCAATTAGAACAGGAAAAAAGTTGAACTGAATCCATGGCAATAATATCCAAAACTGTTGTTATATTCAGCTTTCAAATTCAGTCAGGTTTCATAGGATCTAAGGAAAATTAGAACGTAGGTAGCATTTGTTTAGCATTCTGACCCTTTTGACCCACTTTAGCTAAGCTGTCTGGGCCTTCACAGTGTCTTATGGTTGTCCAAAAATACTTTGTTCTTTTTAAAAAATTTTTTATCATCGTCAAATATACATAGCATAAAATCTACCACTGTAGCCATTTTTTAGGTGTATAATTCAGTGGCAGTAAGTATATTAATACTGTCGTGCAACCACCAACACTACCCATATTAGGACTGGGTTCTAACCTATGTGATTTTTGCATTAAAATTTCAATTGGTTTAAGTATACTGGCACACAGACTGGTTGAGATGTAGTTAGTATATATTTTTCCCTACAACTGAGGTAATTCTGTGAACATATTTGTATACATCTAGGAAATGGAATGTATTATGCAACAAAATATTGGCAGAATATTTAGAGACTTTTTTGTCATACTTTATTTTAACACATATGTAGCTAAGTATGGCTACATCAGCATAATTAATCAGTATTAAGGTGAATCAAATTTTAAATTAATCCAATTTTAGTCATCAGAAAAATAAAATACAATGTTAGGACTGGGTTGAAACAACTGAAATAGTCTACATTCATGTGTTTTTGACTTACAAAAATGATGTCAAATTTCTTATTTCGATCTAATGAGAATACTTGTGTAGCTATTATATTCCTCGTAAATTCTAGATAAGGTTTACTTTTCCCCAACATTTTATTATGAAAAATTTCAAACTTTCCAAAAAAAGTTGAACACTGTTCAGTGAGTACCCATATACTCAACATTTAGATTCTATAATTCTTATCATTTTGCTATATTTGCTTTCTCACACATCCATTCATCATTCTTATTTTTTGCTCCATTTCAAAGTTGGAGGTATCAGTATATTTCAGTCCTAAATACTTGTATGGATTTACTTTTTAGAACTGACATTTAAAGCATGCACTTTCAGATTTTTTTCTAATTAATTTCACAACTATGGTAAATAAGATAGCTGAATGATGATTTAGAGTGGGAACTTATCAGGAGTTAGGCTTTCAGTTGAAATAGCAATATTAGAGGCATGTGAACCAGAGCAACTCCATCTTGACTGAATAGGAGCTGGGTAAAATGAGGTTGAAACCTACTGGGCTGCATTCCCAGATGGTAAAGGCATTCTAAGTCACAAGATGAGATATGAGGTCAGCACAAAATACAGGTCACAAAGATATTGCTGATAAAACAGGTTGCAGTAAAGCCAGCTAAAACCTATCATAACCAAGATGCTCATGAGTGACCCCTGGTCGTCCTCACTACTACACTCCCACCAGCACCATGACAGTTTACAAATGCCACGGCAACATCAGGAAGTTACCCTACATGATTTAGAAAGGGGAAGCACAGGCTGGGCACAGTGGCTCACACCTGTAATCCCAGCACTTTGGGAGGCTGAGGCGGGCGGATCATGAGGTCAGGAGATTGAGACCATCCTGGCTAACACAGTGAAACCCCGTCTCTACTAAAAATACAAAAAAATTAGCCGAGTGTGGTGGTGGGCACCTGTAGTCCCAGCTACTCGGGAGGCTGAGGCAGAAGAATGGCATGAACCCGGGAGGTGGAGCTTGCAGTGAGCTGAGATTGGGCCACTGCATGACAGCCTGGGCAACAGGGAGACTCCGTCTCAAAAAAAAAAAAAAAAAAGAAAGGGGAAGCATAAATATTCCACTCTTTGTTTAGCATATCATCAAGAAATAACCATAAAAATGGACAACCGGCAGCCCAAAGTCTTGCTCTGTCACCCAGGCTGGAGTGCAGTGGTGCCATCTCAGCTCACCCGCCTCGGCCTCCCAAAGTGCTGAGATTACAGTCATGAGCCACTGTGCCTGCTCACTCCCCTTTTTTTAAACCTCTGATAGACTGACCAGGAACATCACCTGGGAAGGTCTTATAATTATGCTTTCCCTTTTTGCTTCTCCATATCCTACCCCTCCCACTCCATGTAATTAATCTATTTCAACTATTTATTCCCCAATTCTCCATCCCCTTCCTTTTCAGATGGAGAACAGCTATTTGAAAATAATGCATTTACAGTTTCTCAAGATCTTGGAATGGAGGGAACAGCAGAAATCTGATGTTTAATATACATACAACACAAGTCCTTCTACCTTCTAGGAGTAAATAGTATCCCATGCTTTCTACAGAAAATCACTCTTCCCTCCAATATTAGCCATGCATGTGGTTTAGGCAGTTAATACCATAACCAACCCCAGAAACACTTAGATTGGCCACTGTAGCCCATCTTCCAGACTACATCATTGGGAGACTGGGTCCATAAAGCTGGTCTTAGTGAACTTCAGAACTTTTGCTGGGAAAAGTGGTATACAGACTTTCTCTCTTCTTCCGGGCTTAGAGGCAGACAATGTGAGGCTATTGCTGCCAGAAGAGCCACCAACTAAGCGGAGCCTTAACAATCCATAGGAAGTGAAGGTGGAAACTGACGGCACTGAGACATGGATCCAGCTGTGCTGTGCCTAAAGCTAAATATATTCTTGTACTGTTAACTCACATAAACCAGTAGATTTTTGGGTTTTTTTTTTTTTTTTTTTTTTGAGGCGGAGTCTCGCTCTGTGGCCCAGGCTGGAGTGCAGTGGCGCGATCTCGGCTCACTGCAAGCTCCGCCTCCCGGGTTCCCGCCATTCTCCTGCCTCAGCCTCCCGAGTAGCTGGGACTACAGGCGCCGCCACCACGCCCGGCTAATTTTTTTGTATTTTTAGTGGAGACGGGGTTTCATTGTTTTAGCCAGGATGGTCTCGATCTCCTGACCTCGTGATCCGCCCGTCTCGGCCTCCCAAAGTGCTGGGATTACAGGCTTGAGCCACCGCGCCCGGCCGATTTTTGGGTTTTTGTCTTAACCAATTTGCACCGCATCATGGTGCAACCAAAATGATCTTGATACTGTGTTGGGTACTAAGAGATGGCCTCAGTACAATCATAGAATGTAAACTCTAAAGAGTTTTTATTATTTTTGAGACAGGGTCTCACTCTGTTGCTCAGGTGAGAGAGCAGTGGCACAATCATGGGTCACTGCAGCCTGGACCTCCTGGGCTCCAGTGATCCTCCCACCCCAGCCTCCTGAGTAGATGGGACTAGTTTTTGGTTTTGTCTTTTGAAATGGAAAATAGCCAATTAATTATTAGCCAAAACCAAAACACTCAAAGTCCATACCCAAGGAAAAAGGAAGTTGTAATTTCTGACCAAACTAAGAGTTTCTCCTTACATCTATTTTTCCTTTTGTTTTCTCCAACCCTAAGACTCTCTCAGAACTCAGTCCTCAGTGTGATGCATAAACATCACCTGCGGAAGCATTAGAAATGCACATCTTTAGGCCTTGCTCCAGACCTACAGAATCAGAAACTCTGGGGGTACCCAGCACTTTGTTTCAATAAGCCCATCAGGTGATCATGATCCCAAAAGTTTGAAAAACTTCTGCTCTGGCCATTCTTCCTTCCTTTTTTCTGATTTCTCCTTTGTAACTTTTTTTTTTTTTTTTTTTTGGAGACGGAGTCTCGCTCTGTTGCCCAGGCTGGAGAGCAGTGGTGTGATCTCAGCTCACTGCAACCTCTGCCTCCCATGTTTAAGCAATTCTTCTGCCTCAGTCTCCTGAATAGCTGGGACAACAGGCACATACCACCACGTCTGGCTAATTTTTTTGTATTTTCAGTAGAGATGGGGTTTCACTGTGTTAGCCAGGATGGTCTCGATCTCCTGACCTTGTGATCCGTCCACCTTGGCCTCCCAAAGTGTTGGGATTACTGGCGTGAG